TTTTCCAGGAATGGCAGGGACTGGAACATCACACAAACTTCAGAAATCTGAAAACCGTGAGGGATAGATGAAGCTGGGGCTGCAAAATCTACAATGATGCCCCAATAGTCAGACTAGTGGGATAGGTGAAGGTGATGGTGAAGGTGATGGTGAAGGTGAAGGTGATGGTGAAGGTGATGGTGAAGGTGAAGGTGATGGTGAAGGTGATGGTGAAGGTGATGGTGATGGTGAAGGTGATGGTGAAGGTGATGGTGATGGTGAAGGTGAAGGTGAAGGTGAAGGTGATGGTGAAGGTGAAGGTGAAGGTGAAGGTGATGGTGAAGGTGAAGGTGAAGGTGAAGGTGAAGGTGAAGGTGATGGTGAAGGTGATGGTGATGGTGAAGGTGATGGTGAAGGTGATGGTGATGGTGAAGGTGATGGTGAAGGGGGAGGTGATGGTGAAGGGGGAGGTGAAGGTGATAGTGAAGGTGAAGGTGAGGTTAAAGTGAAAGTGAAAGTGAAAGTGAAGGTGAAGGAGAAGGTGAAAGTAAAGGAGAAGGTGAAGGAGAAGGTGAAAGTAAAGGTGAAAGTAAAGGTGAAAGTGAAGGTGAAGGTGAAGGAGAAAGTAAAGGTGAAGGAAGAACGCAGTGTCCAGTGGTTTACCTTCCCCGTGGGCTGTACAAAGTTATTTCCTTTCAGCTCCTGGCCAGGCTTTCCAGCATCGGGGGCAGCAGCGACGGCCGTCCTGGCACCAAACAAATCCCTGGCCAGCGGGCTGCCCTGCTGTCTCATGTCCGACACCGAGGTGAACTTCTTCTTCTGCGACTGGCTGCCCGGGGCGGGGCTCTGCTGGCCCTTTGACCCCGGCTCAGCGGCCTTGACCTTCGGTGACTCGGAAGAACCGGCGCAGCTCTCTGGAACAAGTTTCACACCATCAGGCGCAAATGACATCGGTTGTAACCATAAAAACAACCACCATTATCATAACCACTGTCAAGGTGTGGATGGTCGCTACCAAACAGGATAGACCACAGATACCTCAATATGAACAAAAGACACAGAACATCACCGCGCCATGATAGTCAGCCGCCACAAGCCAAGTGCATAGACTCTTTTATTGAAGAGCTCTCATCAACATGAATAGTTGTATACTAATCATAGCCAAAACGTTACTGTTACAACCATCAAAAAGAGAAATACTAAAAATAGTACCAATAATTATCACATAAATGTAAGAGTTTTACATCCCCTTTGACACAATTTAGATCATTTAGGAGGTGGGCTTCCACTGTGCCTGTCAAATCAACTTGCGTTTAGAGGGATACAATGTCCCAGCAGAAGATGGAGATACACAATAAAAATTCTCCTCAGACAGAATCACTCCAAGATCTTCAACATGCAGTTGCGAGCGTCGTAAAAACTTACTAAAACAAAACTAAACACAAAAGCAACTACCTCTGTTAACAAACACAACAGCAACTACCTCTGTTAACAAACACAACAGCAACTACCTCTGTTAACAAACACAACAGCAACTACCTCTGTTAAC